AATCACCAGGAGACAGGGAGTTCTAGTCCTACCTTAACCTTTAATGTCAGCTGGGTGAGTTTGGGCCAATCACCAGGAGACAGGGAGTTCTAGTCCTACCTTAACCTTTAATGTCAGCTGGGTGAGTTTGGGCCAACCCCCGGGAGACAGGGAGTTCTAGTCCTTCCTTAGGCTTCAATGTCAGCTGGGTGAGTTTGGGCCAATCACCAGGAGATGGGAGTTCTAGTCCTACCTTAAGCTTTAATGTCAGCTGGGTGAGTTTGGGCCAATCACCAGGAGACAGGGAGTTCTAGTCCTTCCTTAGGCTTCAATGTCAGCTGGGTGAGTTTGGGCCAATCACCAGGAGACAGGGAGTTCTAGTCCTTCCTTAGGCTTCAATGTCAGCTGGGTGAGTTTGGGCCAATCACCGGGAGACAGGGAGTTCTAGTTCCACGTTAGCCAGGAAATCCATTTGGGCGACTTTGGGCCAATCAGTTCTAATCCTGCCTTAGACATGAAAGCTAGCTGAGTTGGGCTGAGAGAGCCAGTCAACTCACAGGGTTGTTTCCGTTGTGGGGAAAATAGGAGAGAAAAGGCCTATTATAAGATGTTCACCACTCTGAATTATTTATTAATAACAAAGTCAGGGTATAAATGCCTAAAGAATTCGATCTCCCTCCATATCTCTCTTTCTCTTTCCCTCCCTCTCTTTCTCTCTCTCTTTCCCTCCCTCCCTCCCCATCCTTCCTCCCTCCCTCTTTCTCTCTCTCTTTCTCTCTCTCCCTCTCTTTCTCTTTCCCTCCCTTCCTCCCTCTTTCTCTCTCTTTCAAATCTGCCTCGGAGGCCTTGCTGCCCCTCCAAATAGCCGCCGTGTCCTTTCGGGAAGCCGATCCCCCTCCCTGCCCTCCGTCCCATCCGTCCGCCCTCTGCTGACCCCTGGTTTTCTCCCTGCCTCCAGGTGGAATACTACAATCCCCACACTGCCTCGTGGCACAGCGTGGCCAGCATGGCGAACAAGCGTTGCCGGCACGGGGCGGCCTCCCTGGGCAGCAAGCTCTTCACCTGCGGCGGCTACGACGGCTCGGCCTTCCTCAGTGTGGCCGAGGTCTACAACTCGGCCTCCGACCAGTGGTACCTCCTGGTGCCCATGAACACCAGGCGCAGCCGCGTCTCCCTGGTGGCCACCTGCGGCCGCCTGTACGCCGTGGGCGGCTACGACGGACAGTCCAACCTCAGCTCGGTAGAAGTGTACAACCCGGAAAGCAACCGCTGGACGTTCGTGGCGCCCATGGTGTGCCACGAGGGAGGGGTGGGGGTGGGCTGCGTCCCACTGATGGCCATTTGAAGGGACCGCCCGGGGGCACCATGTGCATTGCATGCGAGCCGTAGGAGGGGCGGGACGAGCTGAGGGACCACACCGGCCCGGCCGACGGGGTGCATCATTTCAAGGTGTGCTTGAGGTGTGGCCCCCTTCTCCCCCCCCCCCACTCCTCGGCTGTCAACTGGGGGGGGGGATTCTTGTGGTCAATCCAAAGAGTTGTTGGGGGTGGGGTGATAAAGGAAAGCTGCTGGCCCTTCTCTCGGCCAAATGTTGTGTTTGTTTCCTCCGGCTTTGCGGTGATGTGGGAGGGAGGAGTGGTGGGTGAGAAAAGATGGGGAGGAGGAGAAGAAAGGACATAAGTATTACTGTTAATGCTGATCAATTCAATCTTTTCTCCTCCTTCCTCCTTTTCCCTCCACCTTCTTCTTCTCCCTCCTCCTTCCCTTTCTCTTTCTTCTTCTTTTCCTTCTCTTCCTCCCTCCTCTTCTTTGTCTTCATCTCCTCTTCCACCCTGCCTCCTTCTCTCTTCCTCCTCCTTCTTTGTCTCTTTCTTCTCTTTTCCTCTTTTTCCCCCTCCTCCTCCTCTCCTTCTTTGTCTCCTTATCTTCCTGTCCTTCCTTCTTCTCTGTTCCTCCTCTCCTCCCGAGGAAGAAGGCCGAGAAGGACCTTCTTCTTCCCCCTCTGAATGTGAAAAAAAACCACTACAATGACAAGCAAAATAACTTTTGTTCAGGTGCATTTGGAGGCCCCTCACTCCGACCAGCATATCACATACCATCGTTTGAAATAAACGTATGGATTTCTAGCACATTCCACCGTTTTCTGACCCGAGAGAAACGAGGCCATGGAAGGGCCTTCCTGCGGAAGTTGGCACGGTTTGACAAACAGCCTTCTCTAACCTGGTCCCCAACCGTCGGAGGGCTAGCCCTGCCATAAGTACATAACGATACGGCCCGCCTAGGGCAGTGTTTCTCAACCTTGGCAACTTGAAGATGACTGGATTTCAACTCCCAGAATTCCCCAGCCAGCATTCGCTGGCTGGGGAATTCTGGGAGTTGAAGTCCAGACATCTTCAAGTTGCCAAGGTTGAGAAACACTGGCTTTAGGGGACCATCTTTATCATGAACACCCCGAGTTTGGAAAATTGGTTTTTTTGATTTGCCACTTCCTTGTTTACGGCCAAAATCCAAGGTAGGACTCCCATCCTTCCCCTTCGGAGGCAGCTTTCAGCTTGGGCGTAACGCGACAAGCCGGGATGAAGCTTGCATCCCCAAAAGTAAAGCCTTCTGAAGATACCGATTCCCCCGAACAGCTTGCAAAAGCGAGGTTGTGGTTTGAAATTTGACTCGTAACTTGCTTTCAGAAGCTGAACGTGGCCCTGTGGCTCTTTAAAGCACCCGCTTCGTTTCCCCGAGAGTTTGCAACCGCAGTGCGATTTTGGGAGTGAATTCAATACGGGTAGTCCTCGGCTTACGACCACGATTGAGCCCAGAGTTTCATGCGGCTAAGTGAGAAATTGAGTGAGGTTTGACCCCCCGATTCCTTGCCCACGTTTGCTAAGCGAATCGCTGCAGTTATTAAGTGAATTACATGGTCATTAAGTGAGCCTGGCTCCCCTGTTCACTTTGCTCATCAGAAGATCACAAAAGTGTGTCTCTCTCTCACACACACACACACACATCGGAACACAGCGATGGTCATATATACGAGTCAGTAGTCCAAAATCTGAATTTTGATTTTGTGACTGGGGAAGCTGCAGTGGTCATAAGTGTGAAAAATGGTGGAATGTCACTTTTTCAGTCCCCCCCCCCCCTTGTAAACTTCAAACAGTCGCTAAGCGAGCTGTTCTAAGACGAGGACTACCTGTATTTTACTCAGCCGTGCTGTGGCTCATTCAGAGCCGGCTAAAGTATCCATCCTGGATTTGGAAAGGGAGGAAAAAATATCAGAAATCATTCTGTTTGTGGGGCTCAGGAATTCATTGGGTCTGGTTCTCTTAACACAACTACACAACTCGCAAACCAGAAGGTTCTGTGGTCGATTGGCGCAGGAATGAATTAGCTGTCCCTGTAATTCTGATTTAATCCTGGTTGGCTTATCTCAGCCCAAGTATCTGGTTGAAGAAGGAAGGGAAAACTCCTCTAACTCTTCAATTTTATTTTATTTTTTCCCTTTTAGTTCTGCAGCCCTTCCCCCTGCTGTTTTAATAGGTTGTGTAAGAGAGGAGGTGTTGTTGTTGGTCTTTAGAAAGAAAGAAAAAACTGGCCAAATTTCTTTTTCTATGGTTTTTCTTTGCAATTGAGGGTGCAATTCCTTGGGTGAACCCAAAAGCACATTTTTCATCCTCAGAGGGTGTCTCCATGTGTCCCTGTGTGGTTTTCTCGATCCAACATACAGGGGGTTAAAAGCACTGAAAATGTTGAAGTACAAAAGGATCGTTTTAGACGGGGGGAGGGGGGGTCCGAAGGCTAGTTGAATTGTGCTCTCTGAGTTTCAGGGTTTCCCTTGCAGACGTCTCATGACCCAACTAGGTAACACCACCAGTGCTAGAGTGGAGGGAGGAGGAGGAAGGCCTTGGGTGCTCTCTGAGCTTGGTGGTATTTTTCGGAGACCCTTTCGTGACCCAACTAGGCAACGTCATCACTGCTAGAAGGCGGCGGGTTTTTGCAGAGAGGAAGGGTGGTGAGGAAAAGGACAGTGAAGCCCTCTGAGATTGGTGGTTTCCTTGCAGACGTCTCGTGACCCAACTAGGTAACGTCATCAGAGTTTATAACGTTATTATCTGTTTAACATCAGCAGCGCTGGGAGGAGGAGGAGGACTGTGAGATCCTTGGTGCCCTCTGACCTTGTAGACGTTTTATGACCCAATTAGGGAACGTAATCAGAGCTAGATAGAAGTGGGATTTGCAGAATGGAGGAGGAGGAGGACTGTGAGATCCTTGGTGCCCTCTGACCTTGTAGACGTTTTATGACCCAATTAGGGAACGTTATCAGTGTTTATAACAGTATTGTGTGTTTAGCTCCCTACCCTTTCCAGCCTTTGTAAAATTTCTGGAGGCCTGACCCTCTGAGACGGTGTTTCTCAACCGTGGCGACTTTTAAGTCCTGTGGACTTCAACTCCCAGAATCCCCCAGCCAGCTATGCTGGCTGGGGGATTCTGGGAGTTGAAGTCCACAGGACGTAAAGTCGCCACGGTTGAGAAACACTGCTCTAAGACAATTCAGCCATCAACGGACACGCAGAGGCGAACCACATTTACACGCCGTTTAAAAAGAGACAATTAAAATCCTAAAAAGAAAATAAGACCAGAACACCAGTCAACACCCCGATCAACAGGAAGTTAACATCACACCAACAATACAGCCACAAAGAGCAGCGCAATTAAGGAAACGCCAAGAATGCTCCCACCAACACTGAAAGAGCAAGCCGAAAAACCCCACACCCCTTCACACTGATGATATAACCTATTTGGGTCTTGAAACGTCCACAAGGAAACCACCCGATTCGGCGTGCACCAAGGACCCCCCGCGGTCCTCCCTCTTCCTTTTCCTCTCCGCAAACTCCACTTCCTTCTGGCCCTGATGGCGTTACCTAGTTTGTAATAAAACGTCCCTGTTAACAGCCTTGGAAATCCTTGGGTCCAAATAACTCCCCATTTCCCAACAGTGGGTTCTGTTTTATCAAATGGGAAACTCCCGAAACAGTTGTCCCCTGCGAAGCTCGTAGGCCCTTTCCCAGCACCATGGTTCCTGTAGTCCGCCGCACATGGCTGTTTTCGTGATCCATCCCCCGGGGAGGCGTGAAAATCCAGCCAGCAGGGAGGGTGGTTGACAGATCACGTGCGTCCCAAAGGGGTTTTATTCTGCGAAGGCCAGCCAACGTGGAAACCGGAAAAGGGGGTTCCCAGAGGGCATCTAGAAGGACTCGTGCGTGTTTCCCGCCTGTGTTCTGTGTCTCCACCGTATGTGAAACACCCGTGTAAAATGCTCCTCGTACCAAAGTAAACGCAAATAAATCTCGGCTCCGGACACATTTTAACGCATTGTGAGCTGTGTTCAGACGGCAGAGGGCGAGTGTCTCCATGTGAATGTAAAACCGTAGACACGTGTTAATGTGAAATCATGTATGTAAACCATCCTGTGATCCTTGGGGTGGGGGGGGGGACCGAGCCTTTGTGTGGGGAAGAAGGGAGTCGGCTGTATCTCTGTTCTCTGTTTTCCCTCTTGCAAATATATTTAACTTGAAACCCAAATAGGTTTCCGGGGTCTCTTTATTTTCTCCGCCAGCGCGTTCTCGGTGGCTGCTAAATTTGGCTGAAAACGGACTACCACGTCGCTTTAGGGGACTTGCACAGGTAGTCCTCGACTTACGACGATTCACCTAGGGGCCATTCCAAGTTACAACAACACTGGGGGAAAAAAGGGGGACTTTTTTCACACAACCGCTACAGCATCCCCACAGTCACATGATCAACATGCAGGCGCTTGGCCACCAACTCATACTTATGACGTTTGTAGCGTCCTGGAGTCACTTAACAACTGTATTTTTAACCCCTTAACAACTGGGGTAAGAAAGTTGGTAAAAGGGCACATTCACCCTGTCTCGCTTAGCAACAAAATTCGGGGCTTGGTTGTGGTCGTAAGTCGAGGACTACTGTTGCACATAAGGGAATGTGCGAGTGAGCTTGGGAGACAGATCAAAATCGCAAGAATCGGTTAATGTATGCTTAAAATTGGACCTGGCCATTTAATGGCCCTCTTTATTCTTTAAAAAAAAAATTTCTTTATTGGTTAAGTTAGACTTAGAATAACTTTATTGTCACTTTGAATATAGACTAATCGGCATGCATTAAAATGAAATTCCGTTGCATACAGCTCTCAAAGGGTCACCACCTCCACTATACGCTACATAAACGTGACTAAATAAATACGAAATTATGCACATACTCACATAGAGAAACAACACAGTCTAATTCGGATGTATGCGTGTGCATGGCGAGAGAATTGAATCCTGTGAGTTTACCAGATGGATGGCCTAGGGGACAAAGCTGTTAAAGAACCTGGAAGTCCTACTAGAAATACTTTGAAACCTCCTCCCAGAGGGGAGCAACAGAAACAGATCATAAAGTGGGTGTTGGGGTCTCTAACAATACTCCGAGCTCTAAGCATAAAGCGCTTGTAAGCAGCGTCCTGAATGATGGGAAATGAGCCTCCTATAATTTTCTCTCCACTCTCTGCAGGGACTTGCTCTCTGCTGTCCTCATCACTCTGTAGGGACTTTCTGCTGTTCTCCTCACTCTGTAGGGACTTGCTCTCTGCTGTCCTCATCACTCTCTGCAGGGACTTTCTCTCTGCTGTCCTCATCACTCTGTAGGGACTTTTTATCTGAGGCATTACTGCCACGAAACCAAACAGGGATGCGGTTAAAACGCTCCCAATCATGCCTCTGTAAAAAGTGACCAGGACAGAAACACACGCTCTCCTCATCCGACCCAGAAAATGCAGATGCTGGCTTGCATTCTTCGCTAAGGATGATGTCGGAGAGACTAGTTGGGATTTTTAGTTATCTGCACCCCCAGATACTTAATTTGGTTGGCCACCCTAACATCTGCATCCTTGATACTGAATGGAGTATGGCTATGCTGCCTTTTTCTAAAGTCTACGATGACCTCCTTTGTTTTATTAACATTTAGAACCAGGTTACTTTTATTGCACCAGTTCACAAGAGCCTTTTTCCCTGTAAGCGTCTTCATTGGGATAAGACCCACGACTGGTGTGTGATTGGACCCACAAGGAATTTGTCTCCGGTGCAAAAGCTCTCCATGTACACACAACTACTGTAACAAGGAATAAATCATAATCATAGATAATCATAGATATCCCTTCAGGTCCATGGATGGCTTTTATTTTGAAGTTGTCTGCTTCCCTCCCCCCAAATGTATGTACATTTGTGTTCGTGCCTACACAAAACTCGGACATTTGGCAACTGTTTCATATTTATGACGGTCGCAGTGTCCCAGAGTCACGTGATCCCTTTTTGCGACCTCCGGACCGCCAAAGCTAATGTGGAAACCAAACTTACTTCACAACCGTATTCCTAACATAACAACGGTGGTGACTCACTTAACGATGGGGGCAAGAAAGGTCATAAAATGGAGCAAAATCCAAGCTTAACAACTAAAATTTGGGGATTGATTGGGGCCATAAGTCAAGGACTCCTACCTGTTGTAGCATTTAGGGTCTGTGTGAATCACCTGGGGGGACTGCATATTCACACAAAATTCAGAGATTTGGCAACTGGCTCAAATTTACAACGGGTTGCGGTGTCCCCAGCCCAGAGTTTTTGAAATCCTGTCCAAGTTTCTCTCTGTCCCACATTTTATTGTTCCAAATCTTTTTTCCCTCTATTTTTTTTTTTTAATTTTGAACTCTGAAATTCAACAAACATACATAAATACACACATACATATGCAGTCTTCAACTCAACAACCATCCATTCAGTGGCCAGAATTATGACACTGAAGAAAGTGACTTATGACCGTGTTTCACACTTAACGACCGTTGCAACATCCCTGGGGTCACCCAATCTAGATTTGGATGTTTGGCTACTGACTTGTATTTATGACGCTTGCACCTTCCTGGGGGTGGGGGTGGGGGGTGTCACATGATTTGCTTTTGCGACCTTCTGACAAGCAAAGTCCATGGAGAAGCCGGATTCACTTAACGACCGTGTGAATAGCTGAACCACTGCATGGATTTGCTTAACAACAGTGGCAAGAAAGGTCATAGGGTGGGGCAAAACTTAACTCTCTTGCTTACCGATGGAAATGTTGGCCTCATTTGTGGTCGTAAGTTGAGGACTACTATAAAGAGTAGATAGGCTCTGATTTTAATGATTAAATCCTTGCGGTTGTTAAGCAGGACACCTTGTGACCACAGGATGCTTCAATGGTCGTAAGTGAAAAACAGCCGTAAGTCACTTTTTTTCAGTGTTGTAACTTTGAACAGTCGCTAAATGAACTATTGTAAGTCGAGGCCTAACTGTACTTCCTGCCGGCCCAATGTGTGTCGCTAGTCCTCAACAACAATGGTTTGTTTAGTGACCATTCAAAGTTACAGCAACAGTGAAAAAAGTGAGTTATGACGGTTTTCCACACTTACGACCGTTGCAGCATTCCCCACGGTCACGTGATCAAAATTCGAGACACTTGGCAGCTGACGGTACCTGAGGGTCACGTGCTCCGCTTTTGTGACCTGACGAGCAAAGTCAACGGGGAAAGCCAGATTCACTTAACGACCGTGTGACTAGCTGAAAAACTGCACTGATTCACTTAACGACTGTGGCTGGAAAGGTCGTAAAACGGGGCAAAACTCACTTTAAAAATGTCCCACTTAGCAAGATAAATTTTGGGCTCAATTGTGGTCGTAAGCCGAGGACGCAGAGATGAGCGCAACATAGAAGTTTATTATGAAGGACATCGAGAAGACGGAGGAGGGACGGAGGAGGAATTCTACCCAAGGACCAGGGAGAAGGTGCAGTTGTGAAGGCCACCTCAGCATCTTCCCTTGGGGGGCTTCTTCCGGGGCACGAGAGCCTCTGGGCCAGATGGGGCCACGCCAGAAGGAGCATCTCCTCCTCACGCGAAATGCCACCTTGGCTTAGCGTGAGCGATGAGCGACCCGCCTCCTGTGAGTAACCTTTTCAGCTTCCTGAGGCCCTTGCGGATTTTACTGCGCCGTTTGACCCGACGATTCTGGAGGGGAGAAGAAGAGGAAGAAGAGAGGAAGGGTGGATGTGTGTGTGAGTCTTCCTTGGAAGAATCTTGGGAGACCAGAAGTTCATCAAGAGTCCTTCAGCTGGTTTTGACAGCAGGAGGAGGAGGAGGAGGAGGAGGAGGAGGAGGAGGAG